CAGAATAGTGGCTTCTATAACATAGCTGAACCACTTGCCAAGAAACTTCTTCATCGCTATCCCACATAAGAACACTGTAGAAGGTCTGCTCACAAACTTATCCAATCTCCTTTCCAAGCTGCCCAAGTTTTTAGACTCTATAACCCCACTCGGTACATCATCAGATGCAGCATTCTTCACCTGACCTCAGCATTCTGAACCGGACTATAAATACTCGCGTTCCTTCCACCCCAGGTAGTTCTGTTTGTGACTTGAAAAAGCCCACTGTGTGGGCGAAACGTAGTCAATAAAGGATCACATTATACTGCATTTGTGTTTATATTTCCATTGTGTCGGTATTTTATACCATTTATTTCCATAGAAATACTTTTTACAATCCAAAAAGGGACAACCAGCCTTATTCAACTAAAAATATGTTGGTTCTTAGTTACCATGAAAACTTGGTTGATATGCCTTCTCTTAAGACTTTTAATATTAAAGTTGTATTCAAAAATCTTGATACAGTAAAAAAACTTTTGATAAAGAATTCCCCCCAAAATGCTGATGGATGTGTCTATAAGATTCCTTGTAAAATTTGCGATAGTTTATTATGGTCAAACTGGTAAAAATCTCAAACTAAGATTAAAACAACAAACATAGCATTAGAACTGGACAAGATTCCAATGCTCTATTTATTCATGTGAGCGATTTTAACCATCCAATTGATTTTCAAAAAGTTGAGAAAGTTGTATCAAGCAAGTCCATGGTCGACAGGAATATAATTGAATCTTGTTTCATAAAAAGCAGTTTTGACAATAATATGAATATTTCCTTTGGTTTATATAACTTAGATCCATTTATAACTAATAGAATTTGGGAAGAATTTAATAATACATTGGACAAATAATAATTTTTAAAATTCTTATTTCTTGGGTAGAGTAGTTTGTTGGTGGGTTGTGTGAAGGACCTGTCTAGTTGGGCTGGCGGGCCTGCTGCAGTGTTCCATTTCTTATGAGTCGCATGTCAGGTGTTCCTTTGTTGTGGGATCTGATAGTGTGGTGTGGGCTAGACCCTTTATATACCTTCCTTTGATGCTCTTCATTGTTCCTTGATAATGTGAGTAGTCACAAAAGCGCTTGGAATTTCTCTATTCTTTTACAGTGGTTGTTTTGCATATATACATATATATATATATATATATATATATATATATATATATATATATATATATATATATATATATATATATATATATATATATATATATATATATATATATATATATATAACATTACATACACACACACATGCAATAAGATCATATATATATATATATATATATATATATATATATATATATATATATATATATATATATATATATAATATATATATATAATATATATATATATTATATATATATATATATATATATATATATATAATATATATATATATATATATATATATACAGTGGTACCTCAGGATATGAACTTAATTCGTTCCAGAATGCTGTTCAAGTGCCGAATTTTTTCCCGTATGGAATAATTTAAATTAGATTAATCCGTTTCAGACCCCCAAAACTACGCTTACAAAAGCACTTACATAATTGTTTGAGTTTTGAGCTGTTCGTATCCCGAGGTACCACTGTACACAGTGGTACCTTGATTTACGAGTGCCCCAACTAATGAGTTTTCTGAGTTACGAGCTGTTGCTCAGTCAATTTTTTTGCTTTGAGTTGCAAGCCAAAATCCAAGTTATGAGCAAAAAAAAAAAATGTTTACTGAAAATGACATTTAACAAGATTCCCAGCTTAAATGGCACAACAAAAGGTGGTTTTGGGACTTGGTACTTATAAAACAACGCCAGTGCAATGTTCTCACTGGAGATAATCATGTAATTATCTTTATTCTACAGAAAAATAAAGTTGCTAAGTTTTTGACATTTGCAAAATATCTTGCCCCTTACTCCCACACAAATCCCAAAATATTTGAAATATTTCCAATATTCCACAAGCCAATTGTAGAGAAATCATTTTTTTATGATTCCCATCAATATTATTGCACTTCAATAATAAATTACCTGGAGAGAGTTTTGGGGGTCAACACCCCCACACCTCAGTCTGAGACCAGGCCTCATGGTGGGCTTCATGAAATAAGTCAATAACTTCCAAAATATTCATATATCACTGCACTAGTGATCTAATGCAGTTAGCCTCTCAAAAACTCATTTTCTCTTATCCAGGACCAAAGAACACGTTACAGGAAGGAGCAATAATGATTTTATATGCTCAGACAGGTCCTGGACACGCTATATTTTGGCCTATTTTATTCATTCTAGAGTATATATCATGTTACAATGTTACCTATAGTGTTTATTATATCACATTAGATCAATTCTGATAGATAAGCCATAGAGTTAATATTAGCAGTATATTGAAGTATTTTCTCCCACCCCTGGGGTGTTTTTTTTGGGGGGCTGGAACAGATTAATGGCATTTCAATTAATTTCAACAAGGAAAATTTATTTGATATATGAGCAAATTGAGTTACGAGCTCGGTCATAGAATGAAATAACCCCTTGACTGTCGCGGTCGTATATATACATCATAGGAGATACTGACGTATCTATACGCATAAATTCTAGCGGCTTCAAATCAAGCAGGAGAAAGCTGGTAGGCCCACATGTGAGAGAATGGGTCTCCATGGTCAGTGTGCACCATATAAAAAAAATCGGGGAGCCAGTGGTGCATTGTGGGAATGCGATTTCAGTCGTCCTTTTTCAGCATGTCTAGCGGTAAGAAATATGTGACTCCCCAGGAAATCTGGGACTTTTCTCTTCCCAAGTGATGCTCTAACAGAGATGGAAGTGTCAGTGAAGATCAATTTCATGATTTCGAGGAGTTTGAGACCAAAAGCAATGATGGAGGAGGAGGAGGAGGAGAAGAAGAAGAAGAATATGTAATAATAATATGTAATATGTTCCCTTGAAGCATGAAGAAGTTCACCCCATGACAGTGACAAGATAATGGGAGATAACATATAATAAGAGCTGATGTTTGATGAGCATAAACAGGGTGGAGGGAGGCTGCAGCTGATAAGAAAAGATTAGATGACCATCACCCTCCCTCTGTTTTTGCTGGTACACAAACATTTGTCTGTCTATTTGTCTGTCTGCCAAGCTCCCTGTCTATCCATCTAGCTCTCTGTCTCAGAGAGAGCCACAAGAAGAAGGAGAAGGAGGAGGAGGAGGAGGAGGAGGAGGAGGAGGAGGAGGAGGAGGAGGAGAAGAAGAAGAAGAAGATGACGTAATAATATGTAATAATGTTCCCTTGAAGCCTGAAAAACAGTTCACCCCATGACAGTGACAAGATAAGGGGAGATAACATCTGATAAGAGCTGACATTTGATGAGCATAAACAAGGGTGAAGTGAGGGTGCAGCTGATAAGAAAAGATTAGATGACCATCCCCCTCACTTCGTTTTTGCTGGTACACAAACATTTGTCTGTCTGCCAAGCTCCCTGTCTATCGGTCTAGCTCTATCTCAGAGAGAGCCACAAGACTGTGTCATCACGTTTACTCACATCAAGCAGAGTATAGCACTTTGTCTGGATTTTTTGAGTTATCCTAGGTAATTTACACTATGTATACTTGTATTTATGTGTACCTGTGAGACAGAGAGAGACAGATTGAAAGAGAATGAGGGAAAAAGATAATTAGAATGGAGGGGAAGCAACATCCCACCCCATTGTTTTGACAGGCATGAGGAGTAGTGAGTAATGAGATATGTCATTTTGACAGCTGGCGACTCCTGACTCAAAACAATTATAAGCCACACACTTGCACACAAGAAAAGCTTGATGATTGAAGATAATAGCAGTTATATAAAAGTATCTAGTGACTATATATGTGTATATTATAGAAACCAGAAGGAAGAATGGAAGGCAGGAATGAAGGACAAGATCAAAGGAAAAAAGTAAGGAAAGACGAAGGAATGTAGGACGGAAGGTAGGAAAGGAATGCAGGAAGGAATGACACATGACCATTTACCTTGGATAACTACATAACACAACTGCCTGCTAATACTTTGAAGAAAACTGTTCAGAGGTGTTTTGTCTTTGCAAAAAAAAAACTTCCACAAAAATGCACACACACTGGTTTTATGTGTGAGGAGTGTAAAACACCATTGTGTATGACACCATGTTTCAAAGAGTTACACAAGCTGCAGAACTTCTAGGAATATGTCCAGTGACTGTATATTGGTATATATATTATAGAACAATAGTAATAAAAAAATTTTTGTATTGTTTGTTTTTGTAAACAAGTTTTGTAAACAATATATTGATAATTATGTTTGTGTGCTCGTGTTGTATACAACGGGTGTACATATGTACATTGCACCTTACTTTGGTCTCACTGGCCACATAAGTTATGTGAAAAAATAAAATAGTGAAAAAAACAACCTTCAAATACAAGTAAACCAAAGTTTACCGGGTGAACGGCAGTCGCCGCTGTTGCCATATGCAGCTCATTTTCTGCAAACTTCATGCCTCTATATCTGGGTAAGTACTGATGGGAAATTTTTTTTTTTTTTTTGGACTAAAACAATCAGAAAAATAATCTTAACATTTTCATAAGAAAAAAATAATTTTTTTGTCGAATATTTTGCGACACCAGGAGACACTTCAGGATTGGGCCTTTCGACAGTCAAAGGGTTAAACTCGTAAGTCAGGGTACCACTGTGTGTGTGTATATATTATTTTTTTTTTTTTTTATTATCACACCGGCCGACTCCCACCAAGGCAGGGTGTGTGTGTATATATATATATATATATATATATATATATATATATATATATATATATATATATAATATAATATATATATAATATATATATATATATAATATATATATAATATATATATATATATATATATATATATATATATATATATATATATATATATATATAATGTATAGGATAAACTATATTTAAAGATTTTTTTTTAATACAAACTTTTATTATATCATACAAAAATTTTGATACATTCGGCATTTAGCACCAGTGGCAGCATTTTGCCTGCAACCAGTCACAACTTAAAAATAATCTTTGGATTGCATTGAATTTTATGTAAAAATAATGCAAATTATATTTACAACAAATATATTATTTAGCAAAGAACTCTTTTGCCTTTGATGGGTAAAAAGTAATATTCTCTTTTACACACTTTGTGTATTTGCGCTTTTTCTTTAAATTTTCTTCTGGTTTAGGCTCCTTTTTATTTTCGTTAGATTTCTCTGTCACTATTGAAACACTTGGTCCATCAGGGAAATCAGATACTATATATATCACGAGGTTGCAACCACTACACACTACTGTAACAAGAAATGTTTCAACATTCACAGTACATTCTGAGGGGCACAGAACTGTGTAACACATTGGGCATTCCTCAACAGCACTGCGAACCACATAATAATACCCATTAGTTGGAGTTTCAATAAATTCCAAAGACATTTCTTCTTCTGCGGGCTCATCTTTTCCTATGACCAAGGGGCTGAACCGATTTTTTGCAGATTTCCGTTTCTTATAAGGTCTAGGCTTCTTTGGCATGTTAGACTGCTGCAACTTACACTGGCCTGCCACTTCAACATACTCTACTGCTTGCTCAAGCTGTTCAAGACCATAATTTTGGGATAAGAGCAGATCCCCTGCATCATCTTCATGGACTTGTTCATAACCATTTTGTTTCAAATTTGGTAAAATGAGTGTAGGATTTTTCCTTATTGGATGTATCTCTTGGTAGATCTCTGGACTTTTTGTTTTAGGATGTATATCTTTTTGGTTGCTGTGATTTATTTGAGATGGTGTTAGTGCTGTAGATACAGCAGGCAATATTTTTGAATTACCACTGTTAGGGTTAGGTTCAGATAGTGAACTGGTATTTTCTGCTGACTTTGTTACAGCAGATGGCAACAGTGTTTTGCACTGTAAAATTGCCGATTGCCATGGGTCCTTTTTTTCTAGGACACTCATTTGTCCAACATAAAATGAAAGTTTTTTGAGCACATATGAAGGAACTAATGCACCATTAAGATTGCCAGAGGAATCACCTGAGAGTTTAGCACTAATGTAATCAAATGGGTCAGAGCAGTACTGCAGCGAATGCTCACATGTCACTCTACCCATATTTCTGTTAACTACCATTACCATGAAGCTATGGCACTGCAAAAACTCTTCCTTGCAATGGGTACATCTGACGGCACCAAAGAACAAGTGTTCCCCAAAGTGCTCTTCCTTGATACTTTTTTGGCAAAGATAACACATTAAATCTTTAATTTTCTTGTCTTTCAATCTTGGGGTTATTACATTCACTCTGAATTTTGAATCAGCTACAGTCATTACAATTTTCTCTTTCGGCTTCATTGGTTTTACAGTTTTCTTTATTTTTGAATTCACTGGTTTCATTGCGAGAGTTGTCGTAACTTCTGAATTCAAATTTTTAATAGGCTGAATAGATATAGGTTTAGATGACATTTTGGGTTTCAATAATGCTTTTCGTATAGTTTCATCTCTTTCAAATTGAAAATTTACCTGAGAAAGTAATTTTGAATGAACAATATCTTGAGTTTTAACTGTTTGTTGATTATGTCCTAGGGAATATTTTGGCACTTCACTGCTTTTTGATACTTTGCTGGTATCTTTACAGTCTTTAACAGGGTGAGTAGAGTTCTCTGTGGGTTGAATCGTGGTCTTGCATAAAGTTGAGTTGCCCTCCAATACTGGCTTCTGCACTTCTGTGGAACTCAATGACTGCTGTAGATTCACAGACTGCAAGTGTGATCTTTGTTGCTGGAAACCTCTATGTTCATCCTGATCCCTGGGCAAATTTTGTTGGCTTACATGGTTAAAATATAAATTTTGTAGAGGTTGACTTGGCATAAAAGTCCAGGGTCCTGGTCTGTCCATGGCCGGATTTCGATATATGACTCGACTTGCCATAGTGAAAATCTCTAGCGCAGCCTGAAAGGTGTAAAAATATTTATTAGATAAGATACTCCTACATTCCATTGTCAACCAATTGCATACTATTAACACTTTTCATACATATGTATTGAAATTAAAATGGTTGATAATGAATCATCCAAACGTATGTCTCATATTTTCACACACACCATACTATTATGTTAATACTTTTCATACATACTGAAATTAATCAAAATGATAGATAGTAAATAATGTATATATGCCTAAATCTTAAAACATAATGTAAACCTTAAATATTTAGAAACTACAAATGGTTCAAAGTGTAATCAAATATGTGATTCCAGACTTCATATACCCATAGGTTATACCTAACAATACAGGAGACATCCTCAGGGTTAACCCAAAATAATCCTAACCTAGGATGCATACCACAGTAGTAGACTTAACTCATGGGTACCTATTTGCTGCTAGGTGAACATGACCAGCCAGCCCATCCTCTTAGTCTCAATACATTGGTAAGTTTGACTAGACAGCTCAGGGCTCGAATCGGCAAACACTTTGGCAAATAATTTAGAACAGGACAACTGTTAAAAAAAAAATGATAGTTTGCAGCCATTTGGGAATACATATGCACATTTGAGAAACCACCCAGCGAAGGGCATCACTTTTAAAGTCCTGGTCTGTAACTCTCCCCCATTTCCTCTCTATCTAACACAATATGTCACTGGCAGCAAAAACAGGACTGTGTCCCACTGTATAAGAATGTTCTTTACAAATACTCTCTAATCTCACCCTCCCACTGTTTTGCAGCTGCTGTATGTGGAGGGTTGTGGGGAGTCAGCAGAGCTGACATGTACCAGACACTGCTGTCACCCAACATCTTAAATTTACAGTTCCTGACCAATCTGTACCAAATAACTGTGATCCCACCACACATGCAAAACATATTGTACAACAAACATCAATGCTTATAAAAAAAAGAATGGAATTACTATTTATAACTCAGCTTTAGCCTTTTAGTGTTTGTATACACAAATAACCTGAACATAGGAGAAAGAAGCTTATGAAGACGTTTCAGTATAACTTTTACCATTGACAAATCTAACACACGAAGGTAAGGGAGCCAGTATATATAGGAGAGGACTGGGATAGGACAAAGAGAGGAAGTGGAGACATAGTGGTAGAAGTAAAGCTAGTACCAAAAGTAGTAATAGTAAGAAGGAGAGACAGTGGTAGTGGCACTAGAGACAAAGGGGAGTGAAGCGAGGCAATAGTAGTAGTAATAGAAGTGGAATAAGTCGAAGGACAAGAAAAGGGAGCACCGCAGGAAAGCTAATGACCCACGAGAGCTTTTTAGTTTTTTGGTCATCAAAATATTAAAGGAATTTAAATATGCTTCTAGTACAATACAGATTAGCCCATTCTATGACCTTTTTTACTTGCAACTTTTGATTTATCTTTGCTGGTTTTTTAGTATGTTAAAGCAAGTCTAGTCATTATTCTTAAAAGGAATTGTGAATGACTGGGAAGCACACACTCCCAGGTCTAGATGCTTCACATCTAGATCTCTCACTCCATCAGGAAAATGTTAGGGCTATTCTCACTCCACTGGGAGTTAGGTATATCTGATTGGTTACTTGACAAAAAGCTCCTCTACTGATTTACAAAAATGTTAACAATTACCTGTGAATTAATTAGGCTGTGGAAAGGCTCAAAGTAGGCCTAAAAGCATATCCCATTTGGGGTTGCAGAATGCTAGTTTGAAAATTTAAGGTTATAATTATAAAATCTACAATTCTTTACCAATCTTTACTAAATAAAACATCCCTACCACCTATTCATCAAATATTACTGCATAAGATAAAACAATAGAGAAAAATGTTAACTATTTAGTTTTAAATTTGCAGTTATTTAGTCTACAGTTAATGATTAATCAAATTTTTTTTTTTAAATTAAATATCTACCTCTCCAGGTATACAGATCAGCATTCATATCAATATGACATGTGCAACACTAGGATTCTCTGAATGGTGACTCATTTAGGTTGCACTGAAGTTTTGTCAGGTTTGATCCAAGGAAGGAGAGAATATATCCATTTCCTAGGAACAAGAACCCTTCACCAGAAATTATAAGCACAGGTGTTTGTAATTCTAATAATTGTAAGCATGGATAATAATGCAGGATTTAAAGTAGAATATGTACAAGCATTATGCAGCTGCAGAATCCTCAACTTTGGAATAAAAGAAGCACTTGATGATAGGAGGTTTTGTATGACACAAAAACTTTATAAAAAATAATAAGTATATAATACTGATTTGGATTCACTTGACATCAAGGAAAATCCAACATTAATTTCCGAATTTGTTAGCTGATAGGTATGTATTACTATAGGCTAACAAAGTGGCCTAAAATTCCTTGGACATACAGCAGGCATGTCTGAAGATGTTAGAGAGGAGTGGAGATGAATGGTTTTGCAGACCTGATGAGGTGTTGGAGTGAACATTAAGAATGAGCACTGCAGCAGGCCTACTGGCCCAAGTCAGGTCTAACTCAAACCCACCTATGTATTTTTCTAACCTATTTTTAAAACTACACAACATTATAACTTCAATGATGCTGCTTGGGAATCTGTTCCACTCATCTACAACTATTACCAAACCAATGCTCTCCCATATCCTTTCTGAATCTAAATATTTCCAACTTGAACCCAGTGCTGTGAATCCTGTCTTGGTCAGATATTTTCTGCACATTTAGGAAGGTAATATTTTGGAGGTGAAAAGTACAGTGCCTTCACTCTAGAGGGGTTTAGGATACTTGGTGATTGGAGAGGCATCTGAACTGTCGTAACTGTATACCTCTGGCAAGGCAGCTATAGTGTGAATGATGGTGAAAGCATTTCTTTTTTGGGTCACTGCATCGGTGGGAAATGGCCAGTGTGTTCAGATTGTTAAAAGAAATTAGTTGGACAGTTGTTGTAATCACTGGGCAAAGTGTCTGGTTATCTTTTGAAGTATTGAATCAAGTGTCCAGTTGTCTTACGGGGTATTGAACTAAGTCTGATGATTCGGAAATTTGTCCGGTATGGGCCAGAGTGGCCACAGTGATTGTGGTGGAGGCAGGCAATAGTTGAACTGCCTGTCAAATGTTTGATTAGGTATTGTACAGGGTCACATCAACCCTCCCATACACATTTCTATAACAAGCAACAACTATAATGCAATCAATACAAAACTATTATTTTTGAGTTTTATTGAATTACAAAGCTTTAAAAGAATTTGTTAGCTTCTTTGAGGGTTTAAGGAACACAACTCTAATTTTCCCATATATTCTTCAGTTCACTTTAGACAATTTTTTTTATCTTAATGGTCAACTGGACATGTATATAAAAGTGTCTCTATATCAGTTGGGCACTTAATTCAAGGAACTTAATGTATCCTTCAGTCAATACTGTGGCTGAAACAATTCACCAAAACCCTGCACTTTAGGAACCTTATAATAAATTTTCACTACTAGGGCAAAGAGAAGTAGAGAACACCCCCCATAATACAGGAGGGAACTGGGAAGAGAGGGAGTGGTGGTGGTGATGGTGGTAGTAGTAAAGTAATAATGGTGAACTTAGAATTTGAAGAATAGCAGTATTAGTAAAAGCAGCAGCAGTGAGGCAGTAGTAACAGCAATAGTAGAATAGTACGTATATAGTAATAGCAGTAAATAATTTGTGGCACTCTAAACGAAAAGACAAATCTGGCCTTTACTTTTCTCACCCATTGTCACTTTACAATGGTCCAGGATGGACCAGAATACAGTAGTACCTTGGTACTCGAATTTAATTTGTTCCAGAAGGCTGTTCGAGTGCAAATCTGTTCAAGTACCAAATGAATTTTTCCCATAAGGAATAATGTAAATTAGATTAATCCATTTCAGGCCCCCAAAAATACACTTACAAAAGCATTTTAACACAAAGTTTACAAGTCTAGCATGCATAAACCTAAAAAATGAAGGTCTCAGAAACACTTTATCACCAGCTGTTTTTCATTGATCAAAATCAACAATTTTTCAATCTCTTCAACTGTTTGTGGTCTTTGTTTCATAACCAATTTCATTCCTTTTGCAACATCATTTTTAATGGCCTCTTTATTTTTTAGTAACAGATCATAGATTTTGTCATACGGGTGGCCCGGTGGCCTGGTGGCTAAAGCTCCCGCTTCACACACGGAGGGCCCGGGTTCGATTCCCGGCGGGTGGAAACATTTCGACACGTTTCCTTACACCTGTTGTCCTGTTCACCTAGCAGCAAATAGGTACCTGGGTGTTAGTCGACTGGTGTGGGTCGCATCCTGGGGGACAAGATTAAGGACCCCAATGGAAATAAGTTAGACAGTCCTCGATGACGCACTGACTTTCTTGGGTTATCCTGGGTGGCTAACCCTCCGGGGTTAAAAATCCGAACAAAATCTTATCTTATCTTATCTTATCACATGGGCACAGCTTTCATATTTCACCATGAGTTCTTTTTTCATCTCTGTTGTGACTAACCAATTTTCCCTTTGGTTGGCTATCACTAATCTCCTCAGGCCCCGTGGTGACTTATTTATACAATATAAAAAAATCACCAGATAGTTTACAGTGAAGTTCAGTGGAGTTTTGCACTGAGCGACAGCTGCAGGGAGACTGACACACATTATTTGGTCATGTCAAGCAAACGGTCAACTACCGAGCGATTTTTTTACCAAACAAAGCATTCGAATACCAAATTGTTCGAGCTGGGAGTTGTTCGAATACTGAGGTACAACTGTACATATAAGGTTCTTCTACTAAGTGTGAGCTTTTGCTGAACTATCTCTTTCCTTGGATCAAACCTGACTGTTGCATTCTCCCAGATTCTGTATTTAGTGCCTTCAGTGTGTGAGACAGAGAGAGAACTCAGATTAAATAATAATGAATAACTGTCAATGAATACACAGAAAAGTATATGGGAGGTTCAATGTCCTTTCGCATGCTATTACATTACTTTTTAACAAGTCACTAGAAACTAG